TCCTCTCCGCTGCTGACTGCTGAGACAAGGTGGGGGGGTGGAAACGAGGGGGTGCCGCAGCTGCAAGAGAGGTCCGAGGGCCACATGAACTGGCCTAGTTGGCCAAATTCATCCCACAGGCCTTGTGTGTGACACTCGTGGACTAGCAGATTTAGATACACTAACGCACTGAAGCCAAACTCCAGCCCACTCCTTATCATCAGTTATAGTAACAGATCGTTTCCTTGCGGGATGAAGGTTTTTCATAAATAAAAGCTGATCATTGTAAGCGCCCCTGTCTGTGGTAAGTGGTTGTCTCACCTCTGTAAACTGCAAGACAGCTTGTACTTTTGTAAAAACAACAGACTTACTGACTGGATCACCAGGTGAAAATAGAGGGAAAAAAACATAAAAAAGAAAACTAAGGCTGGCCACACATCATACAATTTGTTTTGTACAATTTTCATTTAGATTTACCCAGGGATGATTTTCTCAGAGAATAGGTGCAGGAACTCCCCTCTTCTGAGTCACTCCTTGTCTCCGCCCCCTACCCACCTCTGAGCACTGCCCCTTGGTTCCACCCCCTACCCACCTCTGAGCACCGCCCCTTGGTTCCACCCCCTACCCACTTCTGAGCACCGCCCCTTGGTTCCACCCCCTACCCACCTTTGAGCACCGCCCCTTGGTTCCATCCCCTACTCACCTCTGAGCACCGCCCCTTGGTTCCACCCCCTACCCACCTCTGAGAACCGCCCCTTGGTTCCACCCCCTACCCACCTCTGAGCACCGCCCCTTGGTTCCACCCCCTACCCACCTCTGAGCACCGCCCCTTGGTTCCACTCCCTACCCACTTCTGAGCACCGCCCCTTGGTTCCACCCCCTACCCACCTCTGAGCACCGCCCCTTGGTTCCACTCCCTACCCACCTCTGAGCACCGCCCCTTGGTTCCACTCCCTACCCACCTCTGAGCACCGCCCCTTGGTTCCACCCGTACCCACCTCTGAGCACCGCCCCTTGGTTCCACCCCCTACCCACCTCTGAGCACCGCCCCTTGGTTCCACCCCCTACCCACCTCTGAGCACCGCCCCTTGGTTCCACCCCCTACCCACCTCTGAGCACCGCCCCTTGGTTCCACCCCCTACCCACCTCTGAGCACCGCCCCTTGGTTCCACCCCCTACCCACCTCTGAGCACCGCCCCTTGGTTCCACCCCCTACCCACCTCTGAGCACCGCCCCTTGGTTCCACCACCCCTACCCACCTCTGAGCACCTCCCCTTGGTTCCACCCCCTACCCACCTCTGAGCACCGCCCCTTGGTTCCACCCCCTACCCACCTCTGAGCACCGCCCCTTGGTTCCACTCCCTACCCACTTCTGAGCACCGCCCCTTGGTTCCACCCCCTACCCACCTCTGAGCACCGCCCCTTGGTTCCACCCCCTACCCACCTCTGAGCACCACCCCTTGGTTCCACCCCCTACCCACCTCTAAGCACCGCCCCTTGGTTCCACCCCCTACTCGCCAACCGGTACCCCGCTTCTTTTATAGAGTACAGAGCCAAGTATGAGTTTGTGGTGCTGACTTGTATAGATGGAATTTGTTCATGATACAAAGAAAAGCAGTACAATAGATCCCCTGCAGGCAGCAACAATAGTTCCCCCCAGGAATAATAGATCCCCAGAAATAATAGACCCCTCCCTCAATACTAGATCCCTCCCAGCAACTATTGACTACCCCCAGCAATCTAAGACCCCCATCAACAATAGACCCACCCAGTAACAATAGATCCCCCAGCAATAATAGACCTCTCTCTCAACAGTAGATCCCTCCAGGCAACAATTGACCCCCCCTAGCAATCTAAGATTCGATCATCAACAATAGACCCCCCAGGAATTATAACTCCCCAGCGATAATAGACTCCCCTCAACAGTAGATCCCTCCAGGCACCAATTGACCCCCCTAGCAATCTAAGACTCGATCATCAACTATAGACCCCCCCAGGAATAATAGATCCCCCAGCAACAATAGACTGCCCAGGAATAATAGATCCCCCAGCAATAATAGACCCTTCCCTCAACCGTAGATCCTTCCCAAAAACTATTGACTCCTCCAGACCCTCCATCAACAATAGCCTTCTCATCAACAAAGACCCACCCAGTAAGAATAGATCCCCCAGCAATAATAGACCTCTCTCAACAGTAGATCCCTCCAGGCAACTATTGACTCCTCCAGCAATCTAAGAGCCTCCATCAACAATAGACCTCTCTCTCAACAGTAGATCCCTCCAGGCAACAAATGACCCTCCTAGCAGCCTAAGACTCCCCCAGCAACAATAAACCCACCTAGTAACAATAAATCCAGCAGCAATAATAGACCCATCCCTCAACAGTAGATCCTTCTCAGCAACTATTGACTCCTCCAGCAATCTAAGACCCTCTTTCAACAATAGCCTCCCTCATCAACAAAGACCCACCCAGTAACAATAGATCCCCCAGCAATATTAGACCCCTGCTTCAACAGTAGATTCCTGCAACAATTATTGACTCCCCCAGCATCCCCCCATCAACAATAGACCCAAACAATAGCAATAGATCCCCTATAAAAATTAGACCCCTCGCTCAACAGTAGATCCCTCCAGGAAACATTTTACCCCCAAATAATATAAGCCCCCCACAACAATAGACCCACCAGCAACAAAAGACCCCCCCAGCAATAATAAACCCCTCTCTTAACAGTAGACCCCTCCAGGCAACAATTGATCCCCTAGCAATATAAGACCTCCCCATCAACAATAGACCTGGACAGCCACAATAGATCTCCAGGAATAAAAGACCCCTTCCTTAACAGTAGATCCCCCCAGCAACCATTTACTCCCCCAGCAATCTAAGACCCCCCCAAAAAAAACAATAGAGCCCTCCTAGCAACAATAGACCCAGCCAGTAACAATATATCCCCCAGCAATAATAAACCCCTCTCTCAACAGAAGATAACCCATCAACCATAGACCCCCCAGCAACAACAGACCCACCCAGTAACAATAGATCCCGAGCAATATTAGAGCCCTGCTTCAACAGTAGATCCCCCCAACAATTATTGACTCCCCCCAATTTAAGACTCCCATCAACAATAGCCTCCCCCATCAACCATAGACCCACCCAGTAACAATAGATCCCCCATGAATAATAGATCCCCCTCTCAACAGTAGAATCCTCCAGGCAAAAATGTATCCTCAGCAATATAAGACCCCTCCTCAACAATGGATCCCCCAGCAACAATAGACCCAAACACTCATAATAGATCCCCCAGCAATAATAGACCCCTCCATTAACAGTAGATCCTCCCAGCAACCATTGACTCTGCCAGCAATCTAAGATCCCCCGTCAACAATAGATCTATTCTATTCACATTAATTCTATTCAAAATTCTCATTTTGGAATATGGTTATATTCTTTCTATTCTATTCTTTGATTTTCTATTCTATTATTTTATATTCTACTCTAATCTATTCTATTAAAAGTCATTCTATTCTACATTCAAATTTTGAAAGATGGTTATAGTCTTTCTATCCTATTCTATTCTTTGATTTTCTATTATATTACTTTATATTCTATTTTAGTCCATTCTATTCAAATTCATTCTATTCGAAATTCAAATTTTGGAAGATGGTTATTCTTTCTATTCTATTCTTTGATTTTATATTCTATTCTATTATTTTATATTCTATCCTAATCTATTCTATTTACATTCATTCTAGTTGAAATTCGAATTTTGGAAGATGATTATAGTCTTTCTATCCTATTCTATTCTTTGATTTTCTATTATATTACTTTATATTCTATTTTAATCTATTCTATTCATATTCTTTCTACTTGAAATTCGAATTTTGGAAGACGGTATATTCTTTCTACTCTTTGATTTTCTAATCTTTTCTATCCTATTCTCTTTTATTATATTCTTGGATTTTATATTATTTTCTAATTGAGTCTTTTCTATTCTATTCCTTTATTTTATTTTGTTCTGTTTTCCTCTATTCTTTATTCTATTCTATTCCTTTTTTTCATTTGATTTTATTCTATTCTTTTATTTTCTATTCTATTCCTTTATTATATTCTATGTTATTCTATTTTTGTTCTCATATTCAAATTGGAATTTGTTTTCGACTTTGAGGTTGTTCTTTAATTTGAATTTGTTTGAAACTGTTTTAATTTTGGCCTTCATGTTAGTTATTTCGCATTAGTTTAAATTTGTTACTATTGTAATTCGGAATTTGGATACATCCGATCCCTGAATAACAGAGAACTTCTGAATCTCCAAATGGCGGAATTTAGATTCAGAACTAAACGAACGCGTCTAGAATCCAACGGGGACACAGACAGCAATAAACACATGACAGGGGGTCTAATCCATCTCAACGCCGCAACAAAGTTTTGCCTTTAGTTTTACTTTAACCCCTCCCCCTCCAGAGGATTCCCCCACCCCCCCCTCCTGACCAGGCATTTTTTGCGTTACGACGGCTCCGCGTTACTTTAACTGGCAATTGCGAGGGGTTAAGGATGTCACAATTTTGGGGTTCCGGTACTCGGAAGGGGTGACGGAAGGAGTGCGGGGTGGAACCCTGTAATTTGATTCAAATTCACACCCAGCCCCACAGAAATGAGGGCGGGTTTGATATACAGAAATGACTTCCGCCATTACTTCCGCCTCCCAGGACCGTTTCGCCGACCACTTCCTGGAAACCAGCACAGCAAGCTCCACCCCCAGGAGACTGACAGCGCGGCCATGACAACGAATGCGGAACAGAGCCGCGCACGCGCAGAGTGGATATTCGGCTTTTTTTTTACCCCTCCTCTCCGCACCTCAACCCAACTTCAGGGCGGAGTCCTCCCGAGCCCGCCAGCCAATCGGAGATTCGTGAAGCCGGGCGCTCCGCCCCCTCCTATACAAGCGCCGTCCCTGGCCCGGGTGAGCAGGCTAGGCGGCGCCGTGTGTGGGGAGTCCGGAGTTCGGTAGGCCGGAGGCCCGGACATGGTCGGGTTCGGAGCCCCGAGGCGGACGGGCCGCCTCCCCCCTTTCGTCCTGGTGGCCTTGCTGGCGGTGATCGGCCTCTTGGCCTTTAATTACTGGAGCGTCTCGTCCCGCCAGGCCGCCCTCCTGGAGGATGTGTCCGCGCTGCAGGAGCAAGTCCAGCGGACCGAGGTGGCCCGGAGCCGGCTGGAGAAGAGGCACTCCGACCTGATGGTGCAAGCCGAGAGCGGGAGGAGGCAGCTGGAGCAACGCCTGGGCGAGTTCCAGAATGTGGAGGACAGGCTGCGGGCCCGGGACGGGGAGGTGCTCCGGTGTGAGGGGGGACAAGGTGAGGACGGGGGGGGAGGTGCTCCGGTGTGAGGGGGACAAGGTGAGGACCGGGGGAGAGGTGCTCCGGTGTGAGGGGGACAAGGTGAGGACCGGGGGGGGGGGGGGGGGGAGGTGCTCCGGTGTGAGGGGGACAAGGTGAGGACGGGGGGGGGGGGGGGAGGTGCTCCGGTGTGAGGGGGACAAGGTGAGGACCGGGGGGGGGGGGGGGGAGGTGCTCCGGTGTGAGGGGGACAAGGTGAGGACCGGGGGGGGGGGGGGGGAGGTGCTCCGGTGTGAGGGGGGGGAGGTGCTCCGGTGTGAGGACAAGGTGAGGACCGGGGGGGGGGGGGAGGTGCTCCGGTGTGAGGGGGACAAGGTGAGGACCCGGGGGGGGGGGGGGGAGGTGCTCCGGTGTGAGGGGGACAAGGTGAGGACCGGGGGGGGGGGGGAGGTGCTCCGGTGTGAGGGGGACAAGGTGAGGACCGGGGGGGGGGGAGGTGCTCCGGTGTGAGGGGGACAAGGTGAGGACCGGGGGGGGGGGGGGGAGGTGCTCCGGTGTGAGGGGGACAAGGTGAGGACCGGGGGGGGGGGAGGTGCTCCGGTGTGAGGGGGACAAGGTGAGGACCGGAGGGGGGGGGGGGGGAGGTGCTCCGGTGTGAGGGGGGGGTGGTGAGGACCGGGGGGGGGGAGGTGCTCCGGTGGTGAGGGGGGGGGGGGGGTGGTGAGGACCGGGGGGGGGGGGGGAGGAGGTGGTGCTCCGGTGTGAGGGGGACAAGGTGAGAACCGGGGGGGGGGGTGCTCCGGTGTGAGGGGGGGTGGTTGAGGACCGGGTGGGGGGGGGGGGGGGAGGAGGTGGTGCTCGGTGTGAGGGGGACAAGGTGAGAACCGGGGGGGGTGCTCCGGTGTGAGGGGGACAAGGTGAAGACCGGGGAGGGGGAGTGGGGGGGGGGGGGGGGGGGGGGGTCGGGTCAAGGTGAGGACTGGGAGTAGCAGAATATTTGGCGGACTCCTCTGTTGGGTTGCGGTGTATGTAATTGTGGTCCTGCAGCTAATGGGGGAAGGTTGGTAAATGCTCAGCTCAACCACACAATGTTACCCCCCCCAACTATTAGTGGGAATGAGCCCTTAAAATGATGTAGGAGGATGCAGCAGTCTGATCCCCCCCCCCCCTTGTTCCTCCAGGATCCCCTGTATGTAGTGCCGGGGTACGAGCGGGAGGAGCATCCACAGTGGACCACGGGCTTCGCTTGCCCCTTCCTTCTGGTCCACCCCCCCCCCCTTTTCCTCCCTCGCCGCCCCCCCCCCCCCCCCCCCTTCCTTTTCCTCCCTCACCGGTCCCCCCTTCCCTTAAACAGTGGGATCCAGAGACGGACTCCTGAGATTGGATGACATTCCTCCGTGTAATTGGTTTGATTCTGTTCGGTGTTACGTTGTATCAATGTGTCTCCTTGTTCCTGGTTTGGTTACTTTGTGTTGGGAGATAATCCGAGGCATTTGCGCTCGTTTCAAGATGCGGCATTGGGGACACGTTTTAAAAAATTTTTTTAAAGCGCTCTGAATGCCAATCGGAGCCCCGCCCCCAAGTACAATGGTTCGCTTAGTCTTTGTTTCACTTTAAAGATGACACCTCGTAGCGCTCTCTTGGTGCTTCAAAGCCTCCATAGTCGTCTGATGCTCACTGACGGCACCTGCAGCTTTTCAGAGGCTTTTAGTCGGCTTCGCTTTGTTTTGGAGGTTTGAGAGAAAACCAGAACGCCGCCATCAGCAGTCACATCCGGTTCATGAGTTGTGGGAGTGTCTCGGGTGCAGATGTCACATCTGGTGTACAGCAGGATGGTGAGTGGGGTCCGTACTGGAGCAAAGCAACTAGCAGACCGCACAAGCGGTTCGGAACATGGGAATGCTATAGCGGCCGGTGAGCGGGGACTGAGCTGGGGGCAGAGGATCAGCAGAGCTGGGGGACCGAAGAAGGGGAAACTTGCAGATGTCATGCGTGGTGCACAGCATGGGAGCAATGTAGAGGGAGGTGAGTGGGGACCGGTACAGAGAGGAGGATCAGCAGAGCTGGGAGTTTCTACTGTGCGGAAGATCAGCAGAGCTTGGGGGCTACTACTGAGTGGGGGATCAGCAGAGCTTGGGGGCTACTACTGAGTGGGGGATCAGCAGAGCTTGGGGGCTACTACTGAGTGGGGGATCGGCAGAGCTTGGGGGCTACTACTGAGTGGGGGATCGGCAGAGCTTGGGGGCTACTACTGAGTGGGGGATCGGCAGAGCTTGGGGGCTACTACTGAGCGGGGGATCGGCAGAGCCGGGGGCCTACTACTGAGTGGGGGATCGGCAGAGCTTGGGGGCTACTACTGAGCGGGGGATCGGCAGAGCTTGGGGGCTACTACTGAGCGGGGGATCGGCAGAGCGGGGGGCTACTACTGAGCGGGGGATCGGCAGAGCCGGGGGGCTACTTCTGAGCGAGGGATCGGCAGAGCCGGGGGGCTACTTCTGAGCGAGGGATCGGCAGAGCCGGGGGCTACTTCTGAGCGAGGGATCGGCAGAGCCGGGGGGCTACTTCTGAGCGAGGGATCGGCAGAGCCGGGGGGCTACTTCTGAGCGAGGGATCGGCAGAGCCGGGGGGCTACTTCTGAGCGGGGGATCGGCAGAGCCGGGGGGCTACTTCTGAGCGGGGATCGGCAGAGCCGGGGGGCTACTTCTGAGCGGGGGATCGGCAGAGCCGGGGGGCTACTTTCTGAGCGAGGGATCGGCAGAGCCGGGGGCTTTTCTTTTTTTTTTTTCTTTACTTTGAACCTGAAACCCGGGATCGGCAGAGCCGGGGAGCTACTACTGAGCGGGGGATCGGCAGAGCGGGGGGGCTACCCTGAGCAGTATCGGCAGAGCCGGGGGGCTACTATTTTTTTTTTTTTTTTTTTTTTAAACCTACGGTCACCCTAGCAGTACACTGTCACCATGGTGACACTGTACTACATGTGGGGGTTGATGAAGGTGTTTTTTTTTTTTTTTTTTTTTTACACCGATTGCTTTTACACCCATATAGGATGTAAAAGCAATCATTTCTCCTTTTCTCTGGCTGCATTCTTGCAGCCATTGAGAAAAAATTGTGAGAGCTGTGATTGGTCACAGCTTGACACATGGTACAAGGCTGTTGTGAATGGCCCTGTACCATGTGATCTCTGTGGTCATTCACAGATTTCACACGTAGTAAGCAATGATGTCAGAAGTGACATCTTGCTTACTACTATTCATGTGATCACTGGTTGGCCAATCAGTGATCACATGATCAGGACCTCGCACAGATGTCCCGTACAGTGTTCAGTGTTCCGCTGTGTCTGGAGGACACGGAGGGCACTAAATCGCGGTGCCATGCGCTCCCAGGGAGGCGCCTTTTCTGAATGGCAACCCGCTCCTGCACTGCTCAGGTCGAGTCGTTTATGTACATGGGCCAGATGGAAAGTGGTTAATATATACCCTTTTTTTTGTTTTTTTTTTTTTTTTTTTGTTTTTTTCTCTCTCCCTATTGTACCCACCTACTTCTTTTTACTGCTCCACTTCCCTTGAGTTGGGGGGGGGGGGGGGGGGGATTAGATAACCGGAATATATTCATTCAGATGTGTACACATAACCGGACAATGGGATACGTTTACTAAAGGCAAACAGTCTGTACGCTCTGTGAGTTCAATCAATCACTCCTTTCCCCAGAGATCAGTCAATTATTATACAGGATTTATGGCGCCAACAGTTTGCTCAGCACTTTACAGTATAAGGGAGACAATACAGATCAATACAAGAGGGATAGGGGGGCCCTGATCCTGGGAGCTTACAATCTAAGAGGGAGGGGCTAGTGGTACAAAAGGTAATAACTGCGGGGGATGGACTGGTAGGAGGAACTAGCAGTAGAAAGAAAAGTCTGTATCATCCCGGGTTCACACTGATGCATTGTTGAATTTGCAGCGTTTTCTGTGTGAATTCCGCGTCAGTCGCAGCGGGCTGCTGGTGTGTATGTTAACACCCCGAAATCAGTCTGCAAAACGCGGTGCGATGTGCAGAATCGGATCACATAAGTGTGAATACCCAGGAGATTCGATTCTAGTGCGGACCGAAAAAAAGGGTCCTGCATTTTTTTGGTGCGGTGCGATTAGAGCCATACAAATCACATGTGATCTGTACAGAAATGCGGTTCCTGTGTGAATCACATACGATGTACTGCACATGTGAACCTGGGCTTAGAGAGAAAAAAATAAATTTACATATATACATACTATACTGCCAAAAGTATTTCCAATCCCCTCCCAGTCATGTGAGTCAGGTGTTCCAATCCCCTCCCAGTCGCCCAGGTGTTCCAATCCCATGTCATGTGAGTCAGGTGTTCCAATCCCCCCCCAGAGTCAGGTGTTCATGTGAGTCAGGTGTTCCAATCCCCTCCCAGTCATGTGAGTCAGGTGTTCCAATCCCCTCCCAGTCATGTGAGTCAGGTGTTCCAATCCCCTCCCAGTCATGTGAGTCAGGTGTTCCAATCCCCTCCCAGTCATGTGAGTCAGGTGTTCCAATCCCCTCCCAGTCATGTGAGTCAGGTGTTCCAATCCCCTCCCAGTCATGTGAGTCAGGTGTTCCAATCCCCTCCCAGTCATGTGAGTCAGGTGTTCCAATCCCCTCCCAGTCATGTGAGTCAGGTGTTCCAATCCCCCCTCCCAGTCATGTGAGTCAGGTGTTCCAATCCCCTCCCAGTCATGTGAGTCAGGTGTTCCAATCCCCTCCATGGACACAGGTGTATACAATCATCCCCTAGGCATGCAGACGGCTTCTACAAACATTGGTGAAAGAATGGGTCGCTCTCAGGAGCTCAGTGACTCCAAGCGTGGTCCCGTGATAGGTGGCCACCTGGGCAATAAGTCCATCCGTGACATTTCCTGGCTACTAAATATTCCACGCTCAACTGTTAGTGGGATTATAACAAAGTGGAAGCCACCGGGAGCAACAGCCACTCAGCCACCAAGTGGTAGGCCACATCAC